GTGAAGTTAATGATGTCCAGTTAACCAGTGAATACAGGGTGCAGTGGTGGGTACGATAATCACAGCCAGTTATGAATCTTAGTGCACCATGATAGACAGCATCCAACATCTGCAGCATCCAACATCTGCAGGGTTCTTGTAGAAGCGTTTTTAAAAACTTTTCCATTCCGTCAGTGTCTGGAGGTGGTGTGGAGGGGTGCCCGCTGGATCATGGACTGCCTGCAGTGTGTCCGGTCCAAGCAGTGGGTGGGGGCCGTGCCTCTAGGCCTGGTGATGGGAGGAGACCCCCCACCGTGTCCTGACAGTGAAGAAGAAGAAAAGAGACGGACCACCAGGCTCAAATGGGCCAGTCGGATGCAAACACAAAGACCAGCGACAGGTAGTGCAGCAGCTGGTTCTGTCTTTATTCCTTTACGTTTCTCTTCATGACTTCATATTTCTCTTTCAGAGAGTTCAGGCGGTGTAACTTTACCCCCCACTGCTGAGATCAGCCCACAAAGAGTGGCAGTCGTCCCTGCAGAGGAGCGAGCTTTAATGGAAGGTGTCGTTAAGGGAGGGTACCCTGCGGACCTCACCTGCGTCGTTCAGCCGGGCTGTGCGAGCTCTTTGCTTGAGTCTGGACTGGAGCCTGCTGCTGTCGCCCAGTTTGAAGCTGGGTATTCCTGCAGCAGGGAGGCGGACTTCCCCCCCAGCATTTCAGAGGTCATCCAGCCGATGGAGATCGCCGAGCTGGCGGACATCTTGCCCACGCTGAGTCTTATTGAAGAGGAGTACTCTGCTGCTCCACCCTCACCGTCTGTAATGGACATGCTGGAGAACTTTGGACTGGGAATTGGCGAGACCAACGTCTCGTTTGACTTCGGAGGCTCAAACTTGACGAGCGGGGTGGAAGCGCCACAAACACCATTTGAGAATGTGCTGAGGGGACAAGATTCTGCGTCCTTCTGTAACTCTGTACATTCTGGAGATGATGAGGCGCCTGCTCTGAGCTGCGATGCAGACAAACTGGAGACGGACGGTCGAGGGCCACGTCTTCCAGTGAGAAGCCTGGTGGAGTGGGACAAACTCTCCAGCAGCTCATCCTGACACCAAACTTCTGTCAGAAGCAGAAAATCCTTCTTAACCTTTTCCTTTGACTCCTTTCTTTTTTTTTTTATCCTCTTAGTGCCTAACTGGGCTTCATTTAACAACCACGGAGAATGAAAGCAAATCAACTGGACTGTTTTTTCATTTTGCACATTTTGGAACCTGATGTTTATTTTTAAATAATGTACTGTTCACTAAACGTTGTTGGCTGCAAGAGATGCAATAGTAATAAGCTAATGTCGTAGTTTTGACTTGAAACTTCATGGCTCTCTACAGTCTGAGCCAAGTCAGTCAAAGAAAACCATTTACGTCTGAAAACACTGTATGGTGGATTGAAACATATCATTCTGATTGATTTACTTCCCTATTAAATATACAATTTGCCATATTTTGGTTTCATTTCAGCTGAAGCTAAGATAGCTGGCTTGAGAGAACTTATATTTCACAAACGTCTAAAGATAAAGTCAAGCTGAGCTCAGCGTGCGATATCAATCAATTCTTCCGCAGCTTTTATTCTTTCATCTCGATTTTCTCTGAGACCAGAGGAGCCACAAGAAAACAAAAGGCATCTGTAATCTTGTAAAACGAGTGAAATCTTTCAAATGAAATGATTTATTTTTACTGTAGTGGTACACAATTTAAAAATGCATTGTAAGTATCCTGGTTGTTTAAGAATAAAATGGCTGTATTTAAATTCATTTCAGTTTATTTATATAGTACCAAGTCACAACAGAAGTCATTTCATGGCACTGAACAGAAACATTATATATAAAAATAATAATTGAACATTATTTATCTGAGGAGCAGACTGCTTTGAGTTTAACTCCATCACAGACTCTCATCTTGAGCAAGCATGAAGGCGACAGTGGGAAGGAAAAACTCCCTCATGAGGAAGAAACCTTTAGCAGAACCAGGCTCAGGACAAGTGGTCATCTGCTTCAACCGGCTGGGTTTGAGAGGAACAGATACACAATGGCAGGTCAAGAATCATATGTTAAGATAGAAACAATATCAAATGAAAACTATTCAATTTTAACAATTCATTTAATGAAATGAGGTCAATGTGTCCTCCAGTAGTCTAAGCCTATAGCAGCATAACAAGCCGACTCTTAACTATAGGATTTATCGAAGAGGAAAGTCTTAATCCCAGTCTTAAAACTGGGTAATGTGTCAGCCTCATGGACAGAAACTGGAAGTTGGTTCCACAAGAGAGGAGCCTGATAACTGGAAGATCTTCTTCCCATTCTGCTTTTGGAAACTCTAGGAACCGTAAGTAAACCTTTAGTCTGAGAGCGAAGTGCTCTATTAGGAAAATATGGAACAATAAGATCTGTAATATAAGATGGAGCTAGGTTGTTGAGAGCTTTGTAGGTTAGAAGTAAGATTTTGAATTCAATTCTGGATTTGACAGGGAGCCAATGGAGAGAAGCTAAAACTGGAGAGATATGATCTCTCCCACTAACTCCAGTTAAGACTCTGGCAGCAGCATTTTGGATCAACTGAAGATGCTTTGAAGAAGTATTTGGACACCCAGATAACAATGATTTAGCTCTCATTGGAGATCTCATGAAGTGTGTTAGCTCAGAGTATGCGGTGACGATGAACTACTACCAAACCAAGTTTTAGCTAAAAAAATAAATGGCTACAAAAACTGAAAAATCTGTGTGTTGGAGCTATACTTTTTTTTTTGGCTAACGTTGATTAGCTGTGGAAGCCATCTTAAGATGCATTGACTGCAAGTGATGAACATCCAGTAAATAAATATTGAGTCTCATTAAAAAAGGTGGTTCTTGAGATATTATGCTAACAGACCAAGGAAGACAAGCAGATACAGCATCCCCTGCTTTTCATGGCCACAGTCAGTGTTGAGCAACAACTTCAAAATTAAAACATTAAAGTCAATGCAAACAAAATGAAGCCTTAAAACAAACAAACAAACAAACAAAAACAAAAAAAACTTCTAAGTTAAAAATTACACCAAGAAATATTTGAGAAATTCCTTCTAATATTAAATACGAGTAAAAACCAAAGCATATGAATATTTAAGTGAAGTTGTATTGGACATTTGACTGAGACAGCTTTCGAGCCTCCACTGATTCATCTAGCGGGTGAAGAACGTCAAGAACGAGCTGTTCAGATGATCGAAGAGATGTAAAATCAGAAGAACAGCAGAGTAGTAGAGAAAATTGTTCAGATGTTAGACATGGAAATCTTTATGAACAAACAGAAGAACGTTCCAATCAACTCTTTGATAAGAAACTGGCCAAAAAAAATGCCAACACAAGAGGTTACTTGTCTAGTTCTAGTTATAAGTCTGGCTTCAGAGTTAGTTGTTTGGAGGACTAAAAATAACCATTTGAGACTTTATGATTAAACTCAAGACAGTGAGCAGCCTGTGTTTCACAGCTTTAATACGATCCATGATGGTTATAACAAATCATAAAGACTCACTGGTGTATAAATCTGTGTGTCGTCTGCAAACGCTAACTGTGAATTCACTTCATTTATTAAGCACCAAGTCACAACAGAAGTTATCTCAGGCCACTGAACAGAAACATTCACATATACAAAAAGTTAATATTATTTATCTGAAGAGCAGACTGCTTGGAGTTTAACTTCATCACAGACTCATCTTGAGCAAGCATGAAGGCGACAGTGGAAAGGAAAAACTCCATGAGGATAAAATTAACCTCCAGCAGAACCCGGTTCAGGACAAGAACTGAAATGTTATGTATGTCCAGAACATATGAAGGAAGCACATGCAATAAAGAAAATGGGCTCAAGGTGGATCCTTAAAGCAGTGATTCTCAAAATGGGGTGCCCAGACCACCGGGGGTCTGCGAGCCGGTACTTGTGGGTCCACAATTAAAAAAAAGTCTTTTTTACAAGCGCATAGATGTTTAATAACCCATTAAAATACACCAAAATGCAGGAAATGGCATCTACTATATTCAAAATTTTCTGGGGGAGAAGGTGTAGAAGAACAGTGTGATCGATCAGACCAAAAACTGTCTGAAGATCTAATCTCAGTGTAAGAACAACCAGAGCAGGCTTTAAATCCAGGACAGAGGTTTGTGAACGCAGTGTTTAAGGTCTCTATAGGCAGGGACAGAAAACCAGCAGGACAGTCCACATACTCTGTAAATCTGTTAAAGACAGAGGAGGGATGATGTGACACGAGGAACAGCATCCCAGTCAGGGCGGTCCACACTCCAGGACTGATCATTTCTCACAAACTCATATGATTCTTCCCCTCTGACTCTTCTGGACTGAGCTGATGTCTCTGGTCCACTCAACATCCCAGAACCAAAGACCAGTGTTTCCACGCGAGAACCGACTTCCTGTGAGTCTGGATGACACCTTCCTGTTGTTGTCTGACAGTCTGAGGTTTCTGTTTACTGTTTGTGTTGATGGCAGGAATCTGATAGAGTTATAGATCTATTCATTTATAAACACCTTGGTGATGATTCACAACGTAGTGGTGGTGTGTGTTAATGTGCAACCCTCTTATGTTGAGACTTGGATTCATTTTCACAATATAACTGTGTTTCCATGGTAATTAGAGCTGTCAAGGCAACAAGCATCATTTATTCCAATAAACGGCTCCGAGGACAACGGTGAGGTGCGTCTGCATCTTACTGGTCTACTGGAGCACGACCCAAGTAGAAGTGACGAGGAGTGGAGAGAGAATCATTTATCTCTCAATTAGATCAAATCAAATAAAAAATAGATGCTTGCTGGCAGAAGGAGAAGTTCAAACAAGAGTAGCCAAGTAAACCATGCATGAAAAATGGTTTAGCAGCATTTGAGCAATTTTTACCAAATGATTTATCAGTGTGGGATATTTTCATATGTTCATTTGTATTTCACAATCTATTACTTGATCTCATATCAGAAAGTATTTGTGTAGTAGTCATCAACTATTATCACTTCGTTAAGATTCGGATAATGAACTGCATTGCTGAGTATATTAAAGATTACATAAATCTTCTATTTAGTCTAGCTGTTAGCCTGACAAACATTCAAAGTCCAATTACATTTCTCCAAACTGATTTTTTTCAAAGTGCTGCTGCAGCAAAAAAAACTGCTTCAACAAAACCCCACAACAAAAGTTTTGAACTATCCCTTTAGTTTATTGTCGGTTCTTTGAAAGCTCCACAGCTAGAAAGGTTTATACAAACACCATTACATCCGTTTATTAGAATAACTGGGACCTTTGTCGTGTAATTTGAACTCATTTCATATTAGCAGACTTGTGTTTTAGCCTTTTCTGCAGAAAACGCAGAACTGTGGGACTTTACTGTCCCCTTGTGGTCAAATACATGAACTACAGCACCATGTTTTCATAAAGATCTTGCCAGTTGTGTAATTTAAGGCACGTGTAGCCGCTTCACTGAAATAAACCATAACTGTGGGAGCAGTTGATTATATTTAGTTGTTATTAGATTAAAACTTTCCTCTAGTTTTGTTTGTTTTAGGGTTAACAATGTGCGTCACTGTGTCAGCGTAGCGCCGCTTTGATCCGCCGCCTGCACTGCGCCTGCGCACTGCGGTTTGGTGGAAATGGACTGGAATCCAATTTGAGCAGTACATCTAAATTACAGCGAGATTATCTGGGATGTGTGTAGGATTTTTGTATTTCCTGTCATTGAATAATCTCCACAGTAAAAAGCCTTTCTGTTTCCTGAGATGTCTTCTGAAAACGCTGTGTCACATGATGAAGGTAAGTTTATTCTGACAGAAAAACAATTTCATCAACCTATGTAATGTAAATTCAATTAAAAACGATGTATTTATCAGAAATATGTTGTATTGCTGTAAATGTCCTCTTTTCTTCTGTGTAAAATGAGCTGCTAGTTTGTTGATTATTGAAGCATGTAAAGACAATTAGTGTATGTTTTATACAGGCTGTGAAACACCCTCCTCCTCACCAAAGGATGAACCTCTGAGGTTAGTTCTGCTGGGTCGGACTGGGACTGGCAGAAGCTCCTCGGGGAACACCATCCTGGGAAGATCAGCCTTCTGGGTGGAGGTGTCCCCCAGTTCCATCACCACGAGGTGCAGGAGACAGACTGGGACAGCAGGCGGGTGCAGCATCTCTGTTGTTGACACCCCTGGGTTCTTCCATACACACCTGTCCCCTCAGGAGGTCATGGCAGAGGTGGGTCAGTGTGTGAACTTGTATCCTCCTGGCCCCCATGTCTTCTTGGTGACCCTGCAGCTCGGCAGGTTCACGCAGGAGGAGCGGGAGGCCTTGGAGTGGATCAGGGTGCGGTTTGGGCCTGAAGTGTCCAGATTTACTATAGTTCTGTTCACCTGGGGGGACCAGCTGCGAGGCGAAGGTGTTGAGGACTTCCTGCAAAAGAGCCATGAGCTGTCAGAGTTCGTCAGCAGCTGCAAGGGAGGGTACCACGTTATTGACAACAGTGGACAGGATGATACAACAAACTGTTCACATCAAGTCCTTCAACTTCTGAAGAAGGCTGATCAGCTTGTAGCCAACAATGGAGGCGGTTGCTATAGCAACGTAATGTACCAGGAGGCTGAGAGTGTCTTCAGAGAGGCACAAGAGAGGATTCAGGAGAACAGAAGTCACAGACTGGAGTCTCCTCACAAGGACTCTAAAGAGAAGAGAGCAGAGTCGGAGAGGACGAGGAGGGAGGAAGAGGAGGCCAGGAGGAGAGAAGAGAGGCTTTTCTGGTGCGAGCTGGTGACTGCGCTGGGGAGGGGGGCAGCAGAGGGAGCAGGGATAATCGGAAAGGACAAAGGAAAACCCGTGAAGAAGGTGAAGGTGGTCGAGAAGGCAGCAGCTCTGGCAGCGTCGCCTCTCTGCATCAAATCTGCTGCAAAGGTGGTGGGGGGAGCGGTGAGGGAGGGAAGTAAAGTGCTCCACAAACACAAAAAAACTCTGCTGGGCTGAAGACTGGGAGACGTGCTGGGAGGAAAGACTATCTTTATTTCATTATCACAAACCAGATGCTGCAAACCTCTGCAGATCAAGAGCACTGAGGAGCTATAGTGTGTAAGTTGCACAAAAAATACAAACTTGTGGTCGTATTTTAAAAAAAGTTAACAAACTGTGTCCAAATCAACATAACGTTCATGTTTATGGCAAAAAGACCGTCCACTCTCATCCAACATCAGGGCTTCATGTGTCAGGATTTAATAAAATGATCTATAACAGATTCTGAAATGATTCCAGTTTATCCTCAGTTGTAGAAAAACACACAACTGATTCACAGGAGTATTTACTGAACAAAAACGGAGCTAAAATGAAACGTGTGTGAAAAACTGAGTCCTGTGGCTGGCTGTGGAGGAATATTGCCCCACTCTTCTTTACAGTGAGGTTTGCAGACGTTTGTTTCTGCTCAGCTGTAGTAAGGTCCGATCCAGCACATTTCAGTCAGGCTGTCTGGACTTTGAGTGGATCATTGCAACACCTTGATGTGTTTCTTTTCATTCTGCTGTAGATCTGCTGCTGTGTTTGAGATCCTGTTATCATGACCGGTCCAAGCTGCAGTGGTCAGTCAGATGACTCTAGAAACCTTTGGTAAACTGAGGTCATGAACAGTAATGACAAAAAAAGCCCTTATCATCACCCCTCCACCACTGTGGTTGATATATGAGGTGTTGGTCCTGATATGTTGTTTAGTTTTTGTTAAACATTGTGTTGTGGGTTAACATTTACTTTGATTTCATCTATCCAAAATAAATTATTTCAATCCTCCTGTGGTTTCTTTAGACCAGGGGTCTGCAACCTGCAGCTCTGGAGCCACGTGTGTCTCTTTCAAGCTTTGACCAAAACTAACATAAAACTGAATTTTATGCTGTACAAACAACAAAAAATGACTAGTTTTAGCAGTTTTCCTGTCATTTCCTTTGCAAATATGCAGATACAAGTACTAATACACAGAGTAAATTATACTCACTTTAACATTATTTCTTCAAAGTAGGATACTCAATTACTCCACAATTAAAAATTAAAAATAACACATAAGCCTGCACAGTTGATTGTTTTAGTTTTTTACAACTTGGCAAAATCATATTTTTTTCTCTTTACAAGAATCCAGTCTTCTGTGATGGACTTATGAGCTGGATATGCTGGGCACCAGTGACCCCCTGCAACCCAAAAAGGAAGAAGCGAGTAAAGATGGATGGATGGAATAGTCTTTTATTTTGTCTCAAATTTTAAAAATATAAAATACAACTAGAGAAATTGCATTTCATGCGAAAATGCAAGTGTGAATGCCTCTTGCTTACGAATGTCAAGAAAACTGTTGAAAACTAGCTTAAAATAGCAGAATGAAGCTTCAAATATCAGAAGGAAGCAGAACTTGCACAGTTGTTTTTAATGTCATGGACTGCCAAGCTGCTGCCAATATAAACACTTGATCAGACATTACTATGTGTTTGGGTTTACTCTCAGCTACCACTGTAGCAAATTCCAGCTAAATAGCTCTAAAAATGCTTGAGTTATTGTATTTTTTCCTTTGTTTGCTAAGGCAGCCATCATGGATTTTTGATTTTCAATCACAGTCTATTGGGGATCTTTGTCAGCTACCATTATGCCAAGTTTCAGCTGAATAGCTGTAAAATTGACAGAGTTATCCTAGTTTTTCTACAAAGTATATATATCTATATATATATATATACATGTACATATATATATATATATATATATATATATATA